GATGAGGTGTTGGTACCAGAGGAGCCGGGAAGAAGGGTAAGGCAAAGAAGGGAGCAAGTCCGGGAAGACCCACCGGTCATTCCGGTGGATGAAGAATTACCCATGGATTGGTACAACATTGAGGCAAGAAGGTACCAAGACGACCTTGGGAGAAGCATGAACTATAACAACGAGTCATTTGTTTATTTATTTGAACAAATGAATATCGCACCAAGGCCCGGACCCGGATTCCCTTATGTGCCAAGTTGGGAGGAAAGAGTGTAAGCAAGGAGGAACCAAGCTGGTGGAAGTGGGATAGGAGGAAACGAAGAGGAGGAAGAAGATTGATGTTTTAATTTGTTTTGAATGTTTAAAAACTATTTTTATTTGTTTTGTGGTTTTGGAACTTTGTAGGACGATAAAGTAGGAATTTGTTTTTATCACTTGTGGTTGCTCTTATCTTTTCAGATTGAGGCTAGTATGCATGCAAGAGTCTCAAATGTCAAGGCTAGAGTAAGGGTCGGGTCTAGAAGAGAATGTGCAAGTTTTGAATTTAAGGTCGAGTCCGTTATCAAAGAAGGTTTAAGAGTGTTGCTTATTAAAGAAAAATGAAGGAAAGACACTAAATTGTCATACCCAACCACATCAGAAACGGACTCAAAAGCAGAAGATTTATTTATCACTCAACGATATACTCGCCGAGTGCATATCTTGGGCTCGGCGAGTCCGCTTACGAAACCACGTTTTTCTGCTAAAAGCCCTTCTGCTCGTCGAGCAGACGTATTAACTCGGCGAGTCACTCAAAATTCCACTATCAAAATTTGGATTTTGACCACATATGATACAGATTTACTCATATTCTTTAAAGGTTAATTCCTGAAGATTTTTCGAGACTATTTTTCTGCATATTTGGAGCTGTACCACATGAGATTTGACACCCAAGATTTGGATGAGCTGTTCCCATGTTTAAAGTCAATTGAAGATGGAGCTTTCAAAGAAAGAAATCAACCTCGCAACTGCTATCACAGGGGAGTTTGTTCTAATTCTCTCTTTACTTTTATGCTCTTTTTCATGCACAACATGCAATGGGGACATTACATAATTTAAGTGTGGGGTAGGGGGTTGGTTATTACACTAGTTAAATTTTAAAATTTTTTGCATAAAATTGCTAGGACTTAATTTAGAAAATTTGGTAAAAAGCAATTAGGAATCATGCTAGTGTATGTTTGATGATTGCATGAAGACCCAAATGTTTAGTTGATCCTATATACGTTATAATGCATTTGTGGCCTCCTTTATTCTAGTGAAATCATGGGACAAAAACACAACCTCGCTTGCAATATGTTTAGCATCGTGTACCAGAAATGTATCCAGGAATTTTTTTATCTTTAATCAATAAAGGTTGAAGTTGAGCGCCCCTGCTTAAGCATGTAGGATTTGAGAAAAAAAAAGTGAGTTACATGAAAAAAAGAGAGAATTACAAGAAAAGTTGTAAGAATTTTGGAGCAATCAAAAGTGAAGATCAAAAGATCAAAATTCCGAAAGTTCAAAAGTTGAAGATACCAAAAATCAAATCAAAGAAGGTGGTGAATTCAAGAAATTAAAAAGATCAAATATCAAAGAAGTGAAGAATTCCAAAAATAGCTCTATAGTGGTATCGAAAAAGTTGTAAATGTCTAGATTATGTATGCTTGGGTTGCTCAACCAAAAATACCTTGAGGCTAGGAGGTTTTTTTGCGGATGGATTCGGAGGGATGCATAAAATGAGCATTGTTCAAAAGAAGTGGGTGAGTGTTTATGAGGATTGTGAGTATTTAGAATTGAGGGGGGTCCTTAGGAAAAACTTTAGACACAAATGCATGCATTGCGGTCTTGGCATTATGGCTGGGTTTTATTGGGATTGTCTTATGTAGTATTAGTATGTTAAAATTCAGTTATGCTTGGGGGCAAGCAAAAGTCAAGTGTGGGGTATTTTGATATGTGCATATTTAGCTATATATTTAGTATAGATTTTTATTATTTATTGGCTAATTATTTGCAATTTATGGACAAAAGGTGCTTAATTGTGTTTAAATTGTATTTTCAGTCCAAAAGATATGCTCAGAAGCAAAAGGACGCAGGAGATGCATTCGGAAGCTCGGGAATTGAAGAAATAAGAAAAAGAGCCAAATTCATGAAGTACTCGGCGAGTAGGGACGTCTACTCGACGAGTAGGCACGAATGTTCTCGAAGCAATACACAAAGTCCTTGCCGCATACAAATTCTACGAAGGGACTCAGCGAGTCGGTGTGCTACTCGACGAGTAGCCTCTGTTTTCTGAAAACTATAAATAGAGGTGAATTCCGAACCAAAAACTCTCTCTGGCTTTTTGTAAGATTACTTGGCGACTAAGGAGACTGCTAGAGACCTGAAGAACGTGAGAAGAACCCTAATCCTCAATTCTAAGAAGAATAAGGCAACTTAGGTTTAATTTTCCACTTACCTTTGAATAGAACTATGTTAAACTTGTTTGAATTCATTTTTAGGTTTTTATCTACTGTAATTATGAACTAATTTCGTTAGTTTCTGTTTAGGGTAGACAAATTTGCTCCTATGGATTAATTTACTCTTTTGATTAATTGTTATGTGGTGAATCTTATTAAATTAAGCTTGTTAAAGACCCTTATGCATTAACCATAACTATTTTCTGTTAATTGCTAAGTAATTAAGCTGCATGAACATATCTTAATTGTTTATCTCATATGATTTATGTGAACACATTGCTATATGCCTAGGAATAGTGAATATGAAACTAGGACTAACTAGAGAATGAGTATATTAATGTATGAGCTTGTATGATACACCATCAACAAGAGGTTAATTGAATCACCAATTTAATTAGCTAATTACAAGTCTTATTTAACCCGAATAATTAAACTAGGGAATTTATTAGTTTAATCACTTGATCACTGCTTAAATTAATTTATTTTCTAAGGATTGGTAACAACGAATGTGAATCTAATCACCTTAGTCGGTAACCAATAACAATTAATCCATTGCATTACCATAAAAATTAACCATAGGAGTAAATGAATCGAACCTAAACAGAAACCCTTTTGATCATTGAATTTAGTTGGTTTTTACGTGTTTTCAGCTATTAGTTGATTAGTTAAGTCTAGTTAAGTTTCTAGTCTTGCAAAACTAGAGAAAACTCCTCTATTTTACTAATTGTTATAGATAATTCTAGAAGTTAGATTAATTTCCGTTCCCTGAGTTCGATACCTTACTTGCTAATTCATATTACCAATTGACAGGTCCACTGCCTTTTGTGTGTCAAATTCATAAATTAAAAGTAGGATAAAACTAGTTAGTTTAACACACATCAATTAACATGGCCTAGACAGCTCTGGCACGCCAGCCTTGCCTGGTGCTCCCTTGCTAGCCTTGCCTGGCACTTTCCTGCCAGCCCTGACTGACACTCCCTTGCCAGCATTGCCTGACACTCTCATGCCTGCCCTGCCTGGCTCTCCCTTGCCAGCCTTTCCTGGTGGGCGCCCGTCGGCCTCACCAACGCCCCCAGGCGGCCTTGCCCAACTCCTTGCTAGCTGGGCCTGAGTTGGGCTGGCCCAAGCCCTGACCTATTTCCCCTTCACCTAATTGTGAACAATACCTCCTGCATTAAGAGGGACCTTTTTCCCGGTAGCTCAGCCTCCACTCTAGCTTTTTTGGTGGCTCAACCGCCACTCGGACCTTCCCAACCACCAAGATGGTTCTCTCTAGCTAAGGAGAACTATCTCATCCCTACCAACCGATCTAACTTGATCGTCGGAACCTGCTCACGGGGCATAGTCCCTAGGGCGGTTCTAACGACTTTGCTTTGTGATTCTTAGATCTCTGCCGCAACAGTTATCCACAAGGCTTCCCGAAGGTCTATGTTGCATCACTACCTCTTTGCCATATAATCATTTATGATTCGGCATACCCCGCTGCTGCCGGTACGCTATAGCGTTAGAGCGGCAAATGAGAAATATGTGGCTGAGGTTGAATCTCAAGATGTCTATTTTTTTTTGAATCTCAAGTGAACCGTCCCCTATATATATATATATATATATATATATATATATATATATATATATATATATAATATATATATATGGTTAGGTTAATGTGAGACTATCATATTTTGTGAGACATGGAGACACAATCCTAGCCATTCATTTTGGAGATAAAAAAATATTTTTAAAACGCAAAATAAATGAAAATTTTTGAATTTTTTTTGAATATTATTTTCGTCATTTATTTTATCCAAAAAAGATATATAAAATAAAAGAAATAAAAAAATTACCATTTTTTTCAAAATATACATGAAAAATTCTAATAGAATATTATACTATAAATATTGAAATCGAATTTTTAGAATGTTAGAATATTCTACTAGAATATTAAACTATAAATATTTAAAAAATTCTAATAGAATATTAGAATATTCTAACAAATCTGACAATTCAAGTAGAATATTAGAACATTTTAACATATTTATCAAATTTAGTAGAATATTAGAATATTGTAACATTCTAAAAATTCGATTTAATTATTTACATTATAATATTCTATTAGAATATTTTACTGATATTTCGAAAAAAACGGTGATTTTTTTATTTTGCAATATATATATATATAATATATATTATAGATATATATATATATATATATATATATATATATATATATATATATCATGGTTGTAAATATCGGCCTAGGCGGCCGATTAATCGGCGACTAGGCGCTTGGCGGCCTCTCACCGCTTACGAATAAGGGTTAGAGGGTAAAATAATCGGCCTTAGTCAATATCGGTAAAAATCGGTCCAACTAACCATGGGCTCAAAAGAACCAGTTAGCTCACCGAGCATTTGGGTTTGATTTTGTAAAGGAACCTAAGTCTCCTTTTATAAGATATGTCTGCCTTCATTTTTTGTCCCACTAGCGATGTGGGATGCCAAACTTGTAACCTTAATTTTTTTTCACAACTCCATCGATGTGGGATGCCGATGGTGAAGCATGGGAATCCGATTGCTTTCATACGAATTGAAATCGCTCGAAACATTAAATCGTCGACTGCTTTCTTCTCCAAGCTGTGGACTCATCTTCTCCGACGACGCAACAATTCCGATTCACCTTCAATTCAAAGTCGGAAATTGGGACATCTGAGGTAAATTCGAAAACTCACGGGAACTGCGATTCATCTTTAATTCCACGGGAACTCCGATTCACATTCAATTCAAACTCATTCCATCTGTGATTCTGTTTTCTGCTAGATCGAAGGCGGAAATTGGAACTCCGATTCACCGTCTGAGGTCTGTGTCTCGATTATCAAGTCACTTATCAATTCGTTCTTCGTCTGAGGTGTGAGGTATGTGTCTCGATTGTCACAACCCCCTTGAATCTGTGATGCAGGTTAGTTCTTCAATCCATGATGCAAATTGTAATGGAACCCGTGTTCATGGATACATCAGGTATTGTAACGGGGTAGTGTAAATGAATTGATGTTTGTATTGTAATTGAATCCATCACAACAGGTGCACACCAACTATTTGATATTTTGTCTCAGTGAAATTTGATTCACATTCCTTGTTTAATTGAATGATTAGTGATTATAGGGAGGATTAATTGGAAGGAACATGCAACGACTTGTTTAATTCTCCACTTCTGCTTGTTTAATTTTACGATTTGAGTTCTCCTCCAACCACTTCACCTTGTTTAATTAACTATTAAGTTGTTTTGTAATTTGAGTTATCCACCCTGTTCACTGTTAATTTGATTGATAATGTTTGGTTCATTGTTAATGTGTTAATTTGTTTTTAATGTGTTAAGGTTCCAATTGAAGGTTAGTGTCCAATTCCAGGTCTTTGAAACGAATCAACCAAAGAAGCCAAGAGAAAGAACAAGAAAGAAAGCTTCTAAAACTGTTCTTGTTCCCTAACATTCATAATGCAGTAGTTAGTTATTTAGATGTGATGTATTAAGGATCAAATGAGTTTTTTGTAATCATAGTTTCATGTTATAATGTTATATTTATTAATTTTTAATTGATATAATTTTATATTTATTAATGTTATATATAATGTTATATTCTTAGGATTAATGCTATATTTATTAATTTTTTAATAATTAATGGTCTCCGATTAATTTCTCGATTAATCCTCACCTAACCGATTAATCCCTTGACCCCAGTCCACCGCCGAGCTACCGTCGAACGATTTTTGCAACCTTGATATATATATATATATATATATATATATATATATATATATATAATTTTTTTTTTTAAATATTTGATGCAAATTAAAAAAATCGAATTATATCCCCAGTTAAATCAATAAATTATTTTCCTAAAATCCAAAAGGTTGATATTATTCTATATATCAAAAGGCAATTCCACCAACGATTTCCATCCTAAACTTTCGAAACTGACATTTTTCACCTTATATTTTTTAAAATATTTTTAAATGATAACACCTGTACTTTGCAAAATGTTATTTTCAACCCTAAAATTTGAACAACGATATTTTCCATCTGTTTACTTTGTAAAATAACATTTTCCACTTATGTACTCTGTAAAATATCACATTGATCCTCCTAACTCCGAATTTTTTAAAATGTCACTTTCACACGTTATTTTCTAAAGTTTCGTGTTTAATCTTCATAGTATATATATAATATGATTTTTCAAGTTTATAAATGACGTGGAGCGTGGACTTGGAGGCAAGGTCAAGCCTAAGCCATGACGACCTATGACGTTTTTTATGGCGTGATAATTTTATATACATTAAAAAAGATAAATTATAAAATTATATCAAATATATCAAGTTTTTAAAAGTGTTATATTATCGTTTAATATCAAAAGTTAACAAAAACTCAATTATTTAAGCTTGATCAGAAAAAAGAACATAAACAAAAAAACTCAAAAACTCACGTCTTGAAAAAAACTTGCCTCATAATACGATAATACATGTCTTGACACGTTATTTAGGCGTCATACTTAACAAACCCGCCTTGGACGTTTTCGTAGCGGTTACACCACGCTTCACGCCATGACATTCCTTGGTGCACCTTTTAGAACCATGTGATTTTCCTATAATTACCACCCATCAACTTTATAAAATGTTCTTTTGATCGGCTTTGAACTTTGTACAATTTCATTTTTATCGTATCAACTTTCTAAACTTTTGTGTTTACTTCACTAGCAATTCAGTTAGTGATATCGACCTTGTATATTTATCTATCAACAAATATAACAATACCTCATTTTTATGAATACAATCGTCAAAAGTTAACTTACAAAAATAAATAAATTGACCTGCCACAACAAAGCGTTTTTATTGAATACATCACTTCATTTTCTTCTATAGACAAAGTTTTATATTTTATTTTGATGTAGAATATCATGATTGTGATGTCTGGAATATTTTTTCCTCCTTCACGACTTCACGCTCAATCTCACTTTCCAATAGGTGGTTTTTTCCCAGGGAGAACAGGGAACAGAAAAAGCGAAAGGAAGGTACTCGATCACTCTCTCTACATCCTAAAATCCATCTAAATTGATTCAAATTTTCTCTTAATCGGAACGATGATTGATGTAATATTCATGCTTTTTTATGCATTTTATCGGTTATCATTGAAATGCATTTTATCAGTTTTTTCTATTTTAGGTGAATGATTCGAACTGAAATGAAACACTTACCTTGAGGTAATCTAATGCGTGTACAGAGAATGCATTTATTTATAGTCTGATCATGATGTTTTTTTCGCTGAAAATTTGGTTAACGAAATTGGATCGGAGATTATCGGAGTCATGGAAGCAATTTTGTGATGGTTATCCATTTGTCCTATATATTTACTAACATCATGTTTTTCTTTATTTTTTTTTTATCTGTGTACAAAGTGCAGGTTTGTTCTGAAGTTTGGAATAAACTGGAACATAGGATTGGCACCCTTGAGTTTGACTGTGATAGGAAATCTATGGGGGTAATTTTGTCATCAACTTGACCAGAGGGCTAAAGGCGTAATTTTAGATAGCCTTAATGAAATGTGAAGAGGTGCATTTCGTGTTCTGAGTTTTGCATGCAAAGAGGATCCCCCGGCGTTGACCACATTATATATAGTGGCAATGAAGACCACCCTTTAACTGAGACTAATTTAATATTTTGAGGTAATGAAGACCACCCTTGTTTGGTTAGATGGAATCAGATAAAGAATGGAATGATTCTTTCCATAGGAATAAACAAAATACATTTGGTTTGCCTTATGGAATGGAATGGACCATTCCTCCTTCCATCTTGTAATTTTCATTCTGTGATGGATGGGAAGAAAATAACTACATAACCTAATTTTATTTTTATTTATGTAATTTTCTTGACTTAAGTTTTTACTTTTTTTTATTATTTTAATTAATTATTTTTTATATCATGAAATATTTTGTTATTATTATTAATATTAACAAGGGGACATATTTGAACTTACTTGTATATATATCATAACTATTTGGGGTTTAGTGGGCTTTTATTATTTTTAATTTATTATTTTCACAAGTAAAAGTTCATTAATTATAGAATGGTCATCAACTTTTTGATTTTTACCTTGTTTAGTCCAATATTGAAACACTTATCAGTTTTGGTATTTATTTTAAGTTTTCATTTTGATTTTGGTACTTATTTCAAGGTTTCCTATCGATTTTCATGGCCGGTTCTGAGGATTCAAATGCCCAGGACGAGGTGGATAAAAAAGGCCCTTAGGCCTTAACGTGTAACGAATTAAATTACATAAACTAATTTTTTTATTTATTAAAATGACGATAAACTTTATAGCAATAAACAAAGCAAAATCATAGTATTTTAATGAGTAACTACATATCGTAACAGCTAACCGACGATCCGTGAAGCTCTCCTAGCATTCTTGATTGCAAATTGGTTGATCAACTCTTCATAGTCTATACTCTCTAAGATTTCGTTCTCGATAGATATCATTGCCAAACCGTTAAGTCTTTCTTGTGTCATTGTGGAGCGCCAGTAAGATTTTACAAACTTCAATTTCGAAAAACACATTTCTGCAGATGCAACCGTTACTGGAATAGTCAACAATATTCTATATGCAATGCTTGCATCTGGGAAATAATCAAGTTCTTTCAAAAACTTCAAAACATCTATAGGGTTGCTAAATTCATTGGTTTCCAATGTCTCAAATAATTTCAACTCCGTATAAAGTTCCTCGGCATCAATATCTGATCTTTCTTCAAACTTGAGTGCTTTTTCAAGACGATGATAATACGACTTAAGATCTTTATCTTCAATTCCCCTTGTGACATCCCCATTTTCACGGCCAGAAAAGACCGATTTTGTTTATGCTTTATAAAAATCAGAGTACTTCTTTTAATAAAAAATCTTGCGGAATTTGTTCCCAGAAAAACATGATAAATACGTTATCAAAGAATTTCCGAAGAAATGTATTTTTATTCATTTTAAAACATTTGGGATGTCATCGTTAATACAGAAACATAAGCATAAACAGAACTTACATTCATTTACACTAGTGATCTACATCTCTTTTAAATCTCTCAGTGTAATGTAACTTCATATCGACACCTGTGATACAAATAAACTGAGTGGGTCAGGTTGGAAAACCTGGTGAGTACATAGGGGTTTTCAACCCATAATATAATTATTATGTTTAAACATCAACAATCAACCCAATTACTCATCCCCATTATCTTCTTTACTCTTAAGGATCTACCCTAAGAATCAATTATTCATCGTTCATTCATTCCTAAGGATCATCCTAAGGAATCGGCACGAAGTCCATCGTTGTCAAGACACAGCTGTCAAGCACAACTGCTAGTTCTATCACTTAGGCGCAGCTGCCAGAATTTGTGACATTCTATGTGAGGCGCAACTACCAGTATTGTCCTTCGAGCACAGCTGCTAGGGTTATCTCGTTTATTGACAATATCGTTTTCGAGAGTCCACTCGCATACATGTCAATGGGTTTTAAGAGTACACCGGTGAACCATCGTTCACAACACCTACAGTTGCGAGCCTGCCAGTGTTCCACTGGACTGTCTAGAATAGTCTGTGGTGTCATCCATACTCTGCTAGATGACGAGGCCATCATTTGGGAAAGGCTTCTCACATCGTCCACCTCTCACCTTACCTCGTGGTCTATAACACCTCTTAACTCATCATCCAACTCATATTCCATCTATTCCATCCATCTACCCATGTTTTACCCAACATATTCTCGTAGATATATATATATATATAGATATATATAATATATATATATATATTATATATATATACAGTTTAAATCATTTAAAACATGTATAAAATCGTTCATCCAGCAGATAGCAAGTATACAGATAATTGCACACATAGCACGTAATTATTTAAAATACTTCATATCTATGTGTAAGATGAAAGTAACTATGCACTCACTTGAAAAGGTGGTGAATCCGAACTCAGACAGCGCTTCGCTTCTTAAAATAATTTCCTTCGATGAAACCTAGTATTATTACCACTAGAGTTTAGTCTATTATTCGCCGAGACTAATTAATAGTCTAGCTATTATTACTATTATATAAGCGTTAAAACAATACTTATATAACCCTAATAATAGCCCAAGTACTTATTATAAGTTCCTAATAACGCTACTATAATTAAATAACGATATATTAAAATAGCGTAGGCGTAGCTCACTTACAAGCGGGTTTATAGAAAACCGGACTTTGCTTGGAGCAGCGTTCCCGAGCCGAAAAGCTCTTCTTCTCAGAGCCGTCGAGCACTTCGGGCTTCCGCCTCGTGCTAGGGAGGTTCCCTAGGCTTTTCGGGGGTTTCGGGGCTAGAGAGAGGTTCGAGAGAGAAGAGAGAGTAAGAGAAGAAAGAATGGGAAATGTGTGAAGAAAATGAGGGTGGGAGAGGTTCTATTTATAGGGTGAAAATGGCTGAACTTGGCGCCACATGTCACCATCTAGTGACAAGACTTGGGGAGAAAGCAATGGCCAAGATTGTGCCACATCACCCATTTTCGCACAGCACACTTCCGACTTCTAAAATCCATAACTTTCACATACGACCTCCGTTTTTGACGTTCTTTATATCCACGCGTAGGTAAAAATAAGATCTACAACTTTCATTTTGACTCCGTCGGCTAATTCTCGACCGATCTTAAATTTAACAGTTTGAGGAGATTATACTGTTAAATGTCCGCGTAAAATTCATAACTTCTACAACTTGGTTAAGATTATTTATTCTAAATAATCTTTTGTCGAAAAGTCGTTTTCGACCCCTATTATCTCTAAATTGACTAGCCCGGATCTACGGGCGTTACAATTATCTCCCCCTTAGGATGATTACGTCCCAGAATCATCAACGAAACAGGGCTCACATGATGACTCCATACGTTATCTCTTCATCCTAAGTCATAACTTTGATGTTTCTTCGAACGAGTATCTAACTCTTAGACTCCTTGACTACAGGCGGTGCTCGATCTTGCATCCGCTCTCTATCTTATGTTAGACTTCCAATCATGATCTTCATGTCACGATCTCGATCTTTATTGGAGACTCCTTATTTAACAAACTTGAGATAAGTTTCTTCCTTCGATTATCATAATAGACCGATAGGTCATGTTCTAATGACCTCTCATCGTATGTTGCAATGCTTAGACTCAGGTCTTTTAGAGTCAAATTCCGGAACAGACTATACCTTCCTTCATGTTCTTATCACATCTTAAAAGGTAGCATTTCTAGCTACAAGCAACTGTCGTGATACCGTACTGATCGCTTTGATTATCTTTCATTTCAATCTCCGGCTTAAGTCAGATGCTACATCGAACTTGGTTCTCTGAACCTCGTAACATAATCATCATAGTCGGACTTGATTTGATATGAACACTAGGGTCGGAATAACAATCATCTTCTTAGTCATTACCGAAACAATGGTAATGGCATACCTGAACACAACGGAATCAACTACTAGCTTCTCGGTAACCTTGTGACTTCCCTGATCCAAGCGTGAGTCCTGTGCTTCCGGTAGTATATGCATCTACTACCTTTCACACCTACTCATACTCGTCCCAAGTATTGTCTCGCAGTCCCCAAGTCACCATACTAGAAAATCACATAACAATTTAACACACCAGATAACAAAACGAAGGCTTTATTATTTCTTGAAACTATTACATAGGTGTTCGAGTTCACCCTATACTATGCCTCTAACAGGTTACATTATACGATACTATCCCTTGGTTACTTCATAACTCGATCTTTGGATATTAAGCCTTCACTCCTGAATCCTTGCATTGTTATCTGCTTCGTCAAGGATCATTTGAAATGCTCTCGCCTTTGGCTTTGGCGGCACATTTGGCTTTGTAGCCCCTTCTCTCTTTGGGCAGTCTTGCTTGAAGTGACCTTCCTAGTTACATGTGTAACATACCCTTTTGTTGAATGTACACTCGTTGGCGTAATGCCCATGCTTTCCACACTTGAAACAAGTCACCTTTTCACCGCATGTTCCAGAGTGTTTCTTTTTGCACTTCTGGCACCATCTTGCTTCACTTCCTCTTCCTCCTCCAGACTTCAGGAATTTGGTCTTCTTGTTGGACCTTGAAGATCCTTCAAACTTCCTCTTCTCGCCAACTTCAGCTTTCTCCAGACCCTTTTCCCTAATCCGAGTCTCAACATTCCTGGCTGCCCAGATGGCAGCTTTCAAAGTGGTTGCTTGCTTGACCATTGGACCAAAGTCCACTGGTAATCCATGGGCAAACTTGTTGACTTTGGAGAGCTCAGTTGGAACTAGGTAAGGAACAAGCTTCATCTTCTCCGTAAAACTTGCAGCATACTCAGTGACACTCATCCTTCCCTTCTTCAGATTTTGAAACTCATTGTTGATCTCTAGGAGATCCTGCTCAGAGCAGTACTGCATTTTCAGTTGCACCACGAAATCTTTCCAAGACATCTTGCTTGCTTCTCCCTTGGGCATCGTGTTAGCTAGTAG